TCAAATGGTATTTCTATTTTGAGCATTTTGAGGAACCTCCATACTGCTTTCCACAATGGTTGAACTAATTTACATTCCCACCAGCAGTGTAGAAGGGTTCCCCTTTTCTCCACAACCTTGCCAACATTTATTGTTGTTTGTCTTTTGGATGGTGGCGATCCTTACTGGTGTGAGGTAATATCTCATAGTGTTTTAATTTGCATTTCTCTGATGACTAGCGATGTGGAGCATCATTTCATGTTTCTGTTAGCCATCTGAATTTCTTCTTTGGAGAACTGTCTATTCTGCTCCTCTAACCATTTTTTTATTGGATTATTTGCTTTTTGTTTCTTGAGGTGTATGAGCTCTTTATATATTTTGGATGTGAACGCTTTATCAGATCTGTCATTTATGAATATATTTTCCCATACTGTAGGGTACCTTTTTGTTCTATTGATGGTGTCCTTTGCTGTACAGAAGCTTTTCAGCTTGATATAGTCCCACTGGTTCATTTTTGCTTTAGTTTCCCCTTCCTGGGGAGATATGTTCATGAAGAAGTTGCTCATGTTTACATCCAAGAGATTTTTGCCTATGTTTTTTTCTAGGAGTTTTACAGTTTCATGACTTACATTCAGGTCTTTGATCCATTTTGAATTTACTTGTGTGTATGGGGTTAGACAGTGACCAGTTTCATTCTCTTACATCTAGTTGTCCAGTTTTGCCAGCACCATCTTTTGAAGAGAATGCCATTTCCCCATTGTATGTCCATGGCTCCTTTATCATATATTAATTGACCATATATGTTTGGGTTAATGTCTGGAGTCTCTATTCTGTTCCACTGGTTTGTAACTCTGTTCTTGTGCCAGTACCAAATTATGTTGATTACTGTGGCTTTGTAGTAGAGCTTGAAGTTGGGGAGCGAGATGCCTCCCACTTCATTCTTCCTTCTCAGGACTGTTTTGGCTATTTGGGGTCTTTGGTGTTCCCATACGAATTTGTTCCCATATGAATTTTTGAACAATTTGTTCCAGTTCATTGAAGAATGTTGTTGGTAATTTGATAGGGATTGCATCAAATCTCTTTATTTCTTTGGGCAGTATGGCCATTTTGATGATATTGATTCTTCCTAGCCAAGAGCATGGGATGAGTTTCTATGTGCTAGTGTCCTCTTTAATATTTCTTAGGAGTGTCTTATAGATTTCAGGGTATAGGTCTTTTACTTCCTTGGTTAGGTTTATTCCTAGGTATTTTATTCTTTTTGATGCTATTGTGAATAGAATTGTTTTCCTGATTTCTCTTTCTATTAGTTCATTGTTAGTGTATAGGAAATCCACAGATTTCTGTGTGCTAATTTTGTATCCTGCAACTTTGCTGAATTCTGATATCAGTTCTAGTAGTTTTGGAGTGGAGTCTTTAGGGTTTTTTATGTACAGTATCATGTCATCTGCAAATAGTGACAGCTTAAGTTCTTCTTTACCAATTTGGATTGGTTGTATTTTGTTGTTTTGTCTAATTGCCGTGGCTAGGACCTCCAGTACTATGTTGAATAACAGTGGGGAGAGTGGGCATCCCTGTCTTGTTCCTGATCTCAGAGGAAAAGCTTTCAGCTTCTTGCTGTTAAGTAGGATGTTGGCTGTGGGTTTGTCATATATAGACTTTATTATGTTGAGGTACTTGCCCTCTATACCTATTTTGCTGAGAGTTTTTATCATGAATGGATGTTGAATTCTGTTGAATGCTTTTACAGCATCTATGGAGATGATCATGTGGTTTTTGTCTTTCTTTTTATTTATGTGGTGGATAATGTTGATGGATTTTCAGATGTTGTACCATCCTTGCATCTCTGGGATGAATCCCACTTGGTCATGGTGTATGATCCTTTTGATGTATTTTTGAATTTGGTTTGCTAATATTTTTTTGAGTATTTTTGCATTTACATTCATCAGGGATATTGGTCTGCAATTTTCTTTTTTGGTGGTGTCTTTGCCTGGTTTTGGTGTTAAGGTGATGTTGGCTTCATAAAATGAGTTTGGGAAAAATCCCTCCTTTTCTATATTCTGGAAAACTTTAAGAAGAATGGGTTTTATGTCTTCTCTGTATGTCTGATAAAATTCCGAGGTAAATCCATCTGGCCCGGGGGTTTTGTTCCTGGGTAGGTTTTTGATTACTGCTTCAATTTCTTTGCTGGTAATTGGTTTGTTTAGATTTTGTTTTTCTTCCTTGGTCACTCTTGGAAGGTTGTGTATCTCTAGGAAATTGTCCATTTCTCCTAGGTTTTCCAGCTTGTTAGCGCATAGATTTTCATAGTATTCTCTAATAATTCTTTGTATTTCTGTGGGGTCCATCGTGATTTTTCCTTTCTCGTTTCTGATTCTGTTGATGTGTGTTGATTCTCTTTTTCTCTTAATAAATCTGGCTAGAGGTGTATCTATTCTGTTTATTTTCTTGAAGAACCAGCTCTTGGTTTCATTGATTTTTTTCTATTGTTTTATTTTTCTCAACTTTATTTATTTCTTCTCTGATCTTTACTATGTCCCTCCTTCTGCTAACCTTAGGTCTCATCTCTTCCTCTTTTTCCAATTTCGATAATTGTGTCCTTAGACTATTCATTTGGGATTGTTCTTCCTTCTTTAAATATGCCTAGGTTGCTATATAATTTCCTCTTAAAACTGCTTTCCCACAGAAGTTGGGGCTTTGTGTTGTTGTCAATTCTTCCCATATATTTCTTGATCTGTATTTTGATTTGGTCATTGATCCACTGATTATTTAGGAGCTTGTTGTTTAGCCTCCATGTGTTTATGAGCTGTTTTGCTTTCTTTGTACAATTTATTTCTAGTTTTATACCTTTGGGTCTGAGAAGTTGGTTGGTAGAATTTCAATCTTTTTTAATTTACTGAGGCTCTTTTTGTGGCCTAGTATGTGGTCTATTTTGGAGAATGTTCCATTTGCACTTTAGAAGAATGTGTATCCTGTCCTTTTTGGGTGTTGAGTTCTATAGATGTCTATTCAGTCCATCTTTTCTAGTGTGTTGTTCAATGCCTCTGTGTCCTTACTTAATTTCTCTCTGGTAGATCTGTCCTTGGGAGTCAGTGGTGTGTTGAAGTCTCTTAAAATAAATGCATTGCATTCTATTTCCTCCTTTAATTCTATATTTGTTTCACATATGTTGGTGCTCCTGTATTGGTTGCATATATATTTATAATGGTTATGTCCTCTTGTTGGAATGACCCATTTATCATTATATAATGTCCTTCTTTATCTCTTGTGACTTTCCGTGTTTTGAAGTCTATTTTTTCTGATACTAGTACTGCAACACCTACTTTTTTCTCTGTGTTGTTTGCATGAAATATCCTTTTCCATCCCTTGACTTTTAGTCTGTGCATGTGTTTCGGTTTGAGGTGAGTCTCTTGTAAGCAGCATATAGATGGGTCTTGCTTTTTTTATCCATTCTATTACTCTGTGTCTTTTGATTGGTGCATTCAGTCCATTTGCATGTAGGGTGATTATTGAAAGATATGTACTTACTGCTATTGCAGGCTGTAGGTTCGTGGTTACCAAAGGTTCAAGGTTAGGTTCTTTACTATCTTACTGTCTAAATTCACTCACTTATTGTGCTAATATAAACACAGTCTGATGATTCGTTATTTCTCTCCCTTCTTATTCCTCCTCCTCCATTCTTTGTACATTAGGTGGTTTATTTGTGTGCTCTTTTTTGTTTCATTTGACTGCTTTTGGGGGTAGTTGATTTCATTTTTTGCCTTTAGTTAATATTTGATAGTTCTGCTTTCTTAGCTCTGATTTTATTTTCTCTGGTGACATCTGTTTAGCCTTAGGAGTGCTTCCTTCTAGAGCAGTCCCTCTAAAATACCCTTTAGAGGTGGTTTGTGTGAGGCAAATTCCCTAAACTTTTGCTTGTTTGGGAATTTTTTAATCCCACCTTCATATTTAAATGAAAATCTTGCTGGATACAGTACCCTTGGTTCAAAGCCCTTCTGTTTCATTGCATTAAATATGTTGTGCCATTCTCTTCTGGACTGTAAGGTTTCTGTTGAGAAGTCTGATGTTAACCTGATGGTTTTTCCTTTGTAGGTGACCTTTTTCCTGTCTCTAGATGCTTTTAAAACTCTTTCCTTGTCCTTGATCTTTGCCATTTTAATCATTATGTGTCTTGGTGTTGTCCTCCTTGGGTCCCTTGTGTTGGGAGTTCTGTGTACTTCTGTGCTCTGAATGATTATTTCCTCCCCCAGTTTGGGTAAGTTTTCAGCAATTATTTCTTCAAATACACTTTCTATCCCTTTTCTCTCTCCTCTTTTGGTACCCCTATAATGTGTCTATTGTTCCTTTTGGATTGGTCACACAGTTCTCTTAATATTGTTTCATTCCTGGAGATCCTTTTATCTCTCTCTCTGTGTCAGCTTCTATGTGTTCCTGTTCTCTGGTTTCTATTCAATCAATGGCCTCTTGCATATTTTCCATTCTGCTTATAAATCCTTCCAGAGATTGTTTCATTTCTGTGATCTCCTTCCAGATATCATCCCTTACCTCTTCCATATTTCTCTGCAGCTCCATCAGCATGGTTAAAACCTTTATTTTGAATTCTTTTTCAGGGAGATTGGTTAGGTCTATCGCCCCAGATTCCTTCTCAGGGGAGGATGTCTGGGTTGGACTTACCTGTGTCAAATTCTTCTGCCTTTTCATGGCGATAGAGGTAGTTGTGGGGAACTGGCACATGTGGTGGCTGCGAGAACATCCCTTCTTGCTGGTAGGTGGCCTTCGTCTCCTGGGAGAATGGCAACCACTAGTGGCTTGTGCTGGACAACTGTGCGAAGACGGGGTTAGTTAATTAGGCTTACCTACGTGAATGGCAGTACAGGGCATGTAAGCGGTGAGGGAGCAGTGTGTCTCAGTGGGGAGGGGAGGATGTGGGAGTGCTTCTCTGATAAACACGTTGCATAAGTTAGCCAAATTTGTATCATTACTTACAGACTAACACATGGAAACCTTGTTTTCCAATTTTTCAGGTTCGGACTCTCCTGGTATCACTGTCAGTGATGTGTCCAGTCAAACACCTGGGGATCTGAAAACTGAAGGTAAGTGTCCATTTGTGTCACTGTCAATGAACAAAAATCAGTCAGCATCCACAGAATTTGGACAGATGACCCACAGAGATAAAGGAAAGATTAATATTGGAGCTGTGTTTCTGTTAGAGGATTATAAACTCTGACCTTTGTGAATCACAGCTTCCAGAGGACAGAGAGAGCACAGAAGGTAAGAAAAAAAGCATAGGGAATTCAACCCCTGATCACCTCTGCATGGCTTCATGTAGTTTTGATTTTTCAAAAATCATTTTGTGACAAAATCTTTGTGGTTACTCTTTCTATGCAACCTACAAGCAAACAGAATACCTTTTAGCAATAATTGGCATTCTTTCTCTCCCAAAACAATATATAAATAACAGAGAATTAGGAGAAAGAGTAATTTCTTCTAGGCTAGTATTGAGAATATACTTAAGAGTGTGTAACAGGATTGAGTTTAGAGTTTAGGGACTGTTTGGGAAACTAGGTAGATAGCTAAAGATTGCCTACTCAGACCAAACGTAGTCTCCTAGCTTTATTTTTATAGCCCTGAATTCACAAGTATTAGTTACAGCTACATTAAGTGTAACTAAAAGAGCACCTTCCAAAGCCAAAAATTAAAATATTCCTTGTATTTTCTATGACTTTATGTAATTTAGAGTTGGCTTTCCCAGGAGTAATGGGAATTATTGGGAATTTACTACACAGTGCCGCCTCTGATATGTACACATAGTCTGTCAACTTGTCTTACAATTTTTTAATGAATAAATAATTCACAAGGAGTGTTGGTTATTTTGAGGATTGTATCATTTAAAACTAAAATACAGAAAACCAATTTTAATACTGCTAGGATAACAGTCTGTTATTAACCACATGTAATGTGTATTCTAACTTTATGCACCAGTTAATTCAGTGCCCTTTATCAGTCATAGGCTCAGGTATCTACTAAAATATTATATAATATTTTTCCTACCCCTATAGTTTTATCTTCTTTTTCTTTTTACCTTTAGAATTAACAATGTAGTTTACAAAAGATTTTTAGTTATATCCTAGAGTAGTGATGACATTGAGCTGTCAGCCCAGTTATTTACCTGTACAACTGACTTGTTTGCTCTATTTCCTCGCAAGTTGGGCAGACCCAAAAAGCAGGACATTTAAAACAAAACAGCTACACAAGTTCCTGCTGCATTGGAAGATGTGAGATAGAAATACTACAGATTTAAATATAAGCAACTTAGACCAGTTCATGTGGACCATTGCTCTTCTTAGCTAATACCTTTTACAAAGTAATGAGCAGAGTTAGTTTTCCAGGGACCTTAATTTTATGATGAGCCGTGGTAATTTTGTATCCTAAATATATTTCCAGAATCTTCTCAGTTCAGGCCTGTATCATCTTTATTTTACATTACTGCTTTATAATATGTCTGCTTCCATTTATTCCCTTGCTCTCCAACCATATTCATCCCTCCCGTCAGTTCTTAGAGTGACCTATCTCAGCTACAAGTAACAACCATGAAGCACCCTAAAACACATTTACGTCCAGGCATCCAAAATTACATATAAGGAAGGCTTTGGTAATCTGAGTCCTACCTAACTCCCTACCATCAGCCTTTTCTACTGCCCACCCTCTTCTCTGGCATTCTGAACTGCTGGGCATGCCAGCCTAACCAATCCCTGTATTTCAGTCAGATAGTCACCCCATTATGTGCTGCTCTGCCTGTCTTGCAGTGGTCCTGCATGCTCTCCGCATTTCTGCTCTCTACCCATTTGGTTCTGGCTAACCTCACTGTTTAAGGCAGCACAGGCATTATCTCTAAAAACCCGTTCCTGATTCCTGTTGTCCACAGTCTTCTTTAAACCTTTAAGTATTTAGCTGGAACTCAATAAATAACAATTGAGTAAAGTAAATAATGACTATTTATACAAAGATGATTTACAAGACTGTCCCCTATAGTTTCGGAGCAAAGGGGACAAACACGTAGATGATAATTTATAGCTCTTATGGTAAAGACATACAAGAAAAATCTATAAAACACTAAGGTAGGCCCAAAGAAACACCTATTCATAGGGGGAAAGACAGCCATAGTAAGGGAGGGCTTTGTACAGCAGTCTGAATCTTGTAAGAGGAAGAGGAGTTTGTCAATAATAGTGCAGCCAAACATTTCAGGTAAAGGAGGGGTGGTGTATACCCCAATAAAGTCATAGAAAGTTATAATTTTGGTTCCTGAATAATGTAGCTGAAGCCTAGCATGTTGTTAAGATCGTACACTTTTGAGGTAGAAAATAGAGTATCTTGTGGCTTTATATGTTTCTTCTGCATTTTTAAATTTTGGTTTTTTTTCTGATTATTTTGTTTGATGTTAGATGGATGGATTTTTGAATGAGGCTTTTACATGTTTGTATGCATTTATCCTGGCAATTTCTAGTATTTCCCAAGTGTTTGTTGAAGTTGTACATAAGTTAGAAATATTTCCTAAATAAGTATTCAGATAAAGATGAAGCTTAATTTAAACTCTCAATTGATAAAATGTTATTTTCTCTTTTTTTAAGAGTATGGCTTTTATTGAACCATTCTGTTGTAGTTCAATTTAACTGAATATATCAATTTGTCAGCAGAACAAGACGTCATAATGATGTCAAAGAAAGAACGGCCTGATGGAAGTGACTATAACCACCAACAGGTATATAAAAAATTTTAATTTCTGGTTTAATATTGTTGACTATTCTTTAATGTTGTAACATAGTTTAAATGAAATTACCTTTTCAACTAGTCCTTCAGAGTCAATAGATCACTTCATAGGAAGTCTAAAATTTTACTACTTGCAAAAATGAATGAGAAATGTCATAGAACATCTGTTGATTTCTTTTAAAAAGGAAGGTTATGGGACAACCTTACTGACTTGCTCCCAGTGAACAGAATATGGTGAAGGTGATGCTGTATGAATTCCAAGGCTGGTTGGCTGGGATAGGCCAGGTGTTCCAGCTGTCCAGCCCAACTAAAGTCCCAGCCAGGGCCTGGCGCCAACAATCAGACATGTGAGTGAACTAGCCTCCAAATGACTCCAGCCTCAGCCTTCGAGCTGTCCCAGCTAAAGCTGAAGGATGCAGACAAGCTGTCCTGGCCACACTTTCCTGACGGAGGTTTGTGAATAAGATAATGTTATTTAAGCTACTGAACCTGGGAGTTCATTAGGGTAAAACAGATAAACAGAAAAGTGGTGAAAAAAAGGGACAATATGAAAACTAACTTATTTGTGGTGAACTGATTTTCAACAAGGGTGCCAAACAGTAGAAATAAGTCCCCTTTAAAACGGGTTATAATAAATGTTGAGATTAATTTATTAATGGAAAACAATGCTAATGAGAAGAAGCAGATGACAAGAAGATTTAAAAAGTATACCATATTCTTGGATTATATTGTTTAAATATTTTAACTATAGATTGTTATTCTTTGAAATGTCAGATTATATGAGTACTAAAATAAGAATGATTCAACCTTATTTTTATAATGCACATTTAATTCAGATGAGGTTAAGGTAAATATATTAAACTTCAAGTCTTTTTTTTCACATTTAAAATTGCTTTCTGAAACACTGAGTCAAAACTAAGGGAAACAAATATGCTATAATTATTCAGATTATACTTACTTAAAAAACGCATTCTTTTAATTTGTTTTAAAGGATGAATCACAAAAGAGATTACAGCAGTGGAGAGAGAAGGATAATTCTTCATTTAGAATGCAAATGGAATTCAGAATTAAAGATCTGGAACTTCAACTCTCCAAAAAAATTTCTCAAGAAGATTCCATTAGAGCTGAATTGGAGAAATATAAACAATTACACCAAGAAGAAGTAAATACCACCCTGTCATTGGCAAAGCAACTAGACAAGTAAGTCAAAACAGAATCATAGAAAATAAATTAAGCTCATTAGTTTGCCTCTAAAGCATTATTTCTATGGAGCCAGGTTTATAAGATTAGTAGGAATGAAAGCTAACTGGATAGTATATTCTGGAAAATGATATTTGTAAATGAACTTACATTTAAAATATTCCTTCAAGACAGTTTTTGTACCCCTCTCCCCTTTCTTGGTTTTAAATGACTTTATTTTTTCCTTTTAATATTTTCATAGTTAACCTGATCTACTAGTCTTGAAGCTCATTGTTTTTGAAGCTTTCTAACTTAGACAGTGATATTATTATAAAATGACTTCCTAAAGAATTCCACTAAATAGAAATATTAATGAGTTTAACTATTTTTTGGAAGATTACATCTTAAACTCAAAGGGCCAAGTACTACTACTCAGCTGTCTTGCCTGAGGGCTTCAGCCCCAGGCAAGTTCACTATGAATTCAGTGAGATGGAGAAATGACAAGGGAACGTTCCCTGGGGTTAAAAGGTTTCTACCTGGCTTTATTCTCCCATCAGTAGTTGGACACTAGAATCACATGCACCCAAAACTCTGCAGGTCTGTAACCCACATCTCTGCCTCTGGAAAGGGTTCTTTATATAATGACTCAGCCATTAATAGCTTATTGCCTATGGGTGTGGAAGCAGTGGCCCAGCAGCAGGACAATTAAATTGACCAGTTTAGGTTCTGGTGAGGATCCTGGCAATAGTAACTTCCATTTTCCTCACATTAGCACATCCGCTGCATGGAAGTTTTGTTTTCCTGATTGTAATCTTTGGTGTTATCACTAGAGGGCTTCATGGAACAAACTATCATAATTTTTCTACTCTACATAAAGGCATTCGTGTGAAATAAAGACTGACATAGGGATGAACAGCACTATAATTCACAAAGTGGTTAAAAATAACACTGTGGGGGGAGGAGGAGACAAGATGACAGCGTGAGTAAGGCAGTGGAAATCTCCTCCCAAAACCATACATATTTTTTAAAATAAAAACAAATACAACTATTCATAAAAGAGAGACCAGAAGATACAGTACAACAGCCAGGCTGCATCTACATTTGTGAGAACTCAGCATCTCACGAAGAGGGTTAAGATACAAGCTGCAGCCCGGTGGGACCCGAGCACCCCCACAACCCCAGCTCCCGAGTGGGAGAAAAGGAGTTGTAACGGGGAAGGAGTGGGAGCCCAGGACTGCTAAACACGCAGCCCTAGTCATCCACACCAGGAGTGCAGACACACAGTGCGTAGTGCACTGGAAATTAGGGAAACGGAACAGTAAAATCTGCGAGCAGGTCCCCGCAAACAGTGCCCATTGGACAAAAGAAAAGTGAGTGCTTTTTCAAAAGTCTTAAAGGGACAGGGGCCTCACAGCTGGATGGAAGGATCCTGGCACACTCAGATCAGCAGCTGGGAACCCCAGAGAACTCTGGGTGCCCTACCCCCTGTAAGGCAGCACAGCTCTAAGGCCCCTCACGGCGATAAACAGCCTCCCGTCCATCCCCCCTCCGGTGCAGCCCCGCCATGGCAGCGAGTAGCTTGGGAGAGGCCAAACCCACAGCAACTGCCCAGAGCCTACTCTGCAGCCATCAGGGGAAGACTCAGAGGCACCATCTGTGCACAACTGCCCAGCACAAGCTGCTAGGGGTCGCTGTTCTCACAGGAAAGGAAGGTGAAAGGACTTTGTTCTCCCAGCTGAAATACACACCAACTGCCCAAGACTACTTCTATCGCCATGAAAAGGCAGAAGAATTTGATCCAGACAAGAATAACCCTGACATCCCCCAAGAGGGAACCTGGCGACATAGATTTAACCAATCTTCCTAAAAAAGAATTCAAAATAAAGGTCATAACCATGCTGATGGAGCTACAGAGAAATGTGCAGGAGCTAATGGATAAGGTTGGGAAGGAGAATACAGAAATAAAACGATCTCTGGAAGGACTTAAGAGCAGACTGGATGAGGTGCAAGAGGCCATTAATATAATCAGAATCAGAGAACAGCAACACAGAGAAGTTGATGCAGAGAGAGATAAAAGGATCTCCAGGAATGAAAGATAATGAAGAGAACTGTGTGACCAATACAAATGGAACAATATTCGCATTAGAAGGGTACCAGAAAAAGAAGAGAGAGAAAAAGGAATAGAAACTGTCTTTGAAGAAATAATTGCTGAAAACTTCCCCAAACTGGGGGAGGAAATAGTCTCTCAGATGACAGAAGCCCACAGAACACCCAACAGAAGGGACCCAAGAAGGACAACACCAAGATACATAATAGTTAAAGTGGCAAAGATCAAGGACAAGGACAGAGTATTAAAGGTAGCCAGAGAGAGAAAAAAGGTCACCTACAAAGGAAAATCTTACAGGACAGAACAGAATGGCATGTATATTTAATGCAATGAAACAGAAGGGCCTTGAACCAGGAATACTGTATCCTGGAGGATTATCCCTGAATGATGGATTAAACAATTCCCAGACAAGCAAAAGTTGAGGGAATTTGCCTCCCACAAACCACCTCTACAGGGCATCTTACAGGGACTGCTCTAGATGGGAGCACTCCTAAGGCTAAATAGATGTCACCAGAGAAAATAAAATCACAGCAAAGAAAGCAGACCAACCAAATACTAACTAAAGGCAATAAATAAAATTAACTACTCACAAAAGCAATCAAAGGAAACACAAAAGAGCAAAGTTGAGGGAATTTGCCTCCCACAAACCACCTCTACAGGGCATCTTACAGGGACTGCTCTAGATGGGAGCACTCCTAAGGCTAAATAGATGTCACCAGAGAAAATAAAATCACAGCAAAGAAAGCAGACCAACCAAATACTAACTAAAGGCAATAAATAAAATTAACTACTCACAAAAGCAATCAAAGGAAACACAAAAGAGCACAGAATAAAACTCCCAACATATAAAGAATGGAGGAGGAGGAATAAGAAGGTAGAGAAATATAGAAACATCAGATAGTGTTTACAATAGCTCAATAAGCAAGTTAAGTTAGATGGTAAGATAGTAAAGAAGCTAACCTTGAACCTTTGGTAACCATGAATCTAAAGCCTGCAATGGCAATAAGTACATATATTTCAATAATCACCCCTAAATGTCAATGGACTGAATGCACCAATCAAAAGAAACAGAGTAATACAATGGATAAAAAAGCAAGACCCATCTATATGCTGCTTACAAGAGACTCGCCTCAAACCCAAAGACATGCACAGACTAAAAGTAGAGGGATGGAAAAAGATATTTCATGCAAACAACAGGGAGAAAAAAGCAGGTATTGCAGTTTTAGTATCAGACAAAACAGAATTCAAAACAAAGTAACAAGAGATAAAGAAGGACATTACAGAATGATAAAGGGGTCAGTACAAGAGAATATAACCATTATAAATTCTAAAAGGAAAGTATATAGCAATCCAGGCATATTTAAAGAACAATCCCAAATGAATAGTGTAAAGTGACAATTATTGAAATGGGAAAAAAAAGAACACATGAGGCCTAAGGTCAGTAGAAGGAGGGACATAATAAAGGTAAGAGAAGAAATCAATAAAACTGAGAAGAATAAAACAATAGAAAATATCAATGAAACCAAGAGCTGATTCTCTGAGAAAATAAACAAAATAGATAAGCCCCTAGCCAGACTTATTAAGAGAAAAAGAGAATCAACACCCATTAACAGAATCAGAAATGAGAAAGGAAAAATCACAATGGACCCCCACAGAAATACAAAGAATTATTAGAGAATACTGTGAAAACCAATATGTGAACAAGCTGGAAAACCTAGAGGAAATGGACTACTTCCTAGAAAAATACAACCTTCCAAGACTGACCAAGGAAGAAACAGAAAATCTAAACGGACCTATGACCAGCAACAAAATTGAGGTGGTAATCAAAAAACTACCCAAGGGCAAAACCCCCGGGCTAGATGGATTTACCACGGAATTTTATCAGACATACAGAGAAGATATAATACCCATTCTTCTTAAAGATTTCTAAAAAAAATTGAGTGGAAGGAATACTCCCAAACTCATTCTATGAAGCCAGCATCACCCTAATACCAAAACCAGGAAAAGACCCCACCAAAAAAGAAAATTACACACCAATATCAAGGGATGGAACATAGATGCAAAAATACTCAACAAAATATTAGCAAATCGAATTCAGAAATATGTCAAGAGGATCATACACCATGACCAAGTGGGATTCATCCCAGGGATGCAAGGATGGTACAACATCTGAAAATCCATCAACATAATCCACCACATAAATAAAAAGAAAGACAAAAACCACATGATAATCACCATACATGCTGCAAAAGCATTTGACAGAATTCAACATCCATTCATGATAACAACTCTCAGCAAAATGGGTATAGAGGGCAAGTACCTCAACATAATAAAGGCC